CCATACATTTTTACAACTTATCTACTTTTATGAATAAACTGCGATTTAGTCAGGTGACATGTCACAGCTGATACATCAGTTAATACACACCCTAAATACACTGACCACAAGTTTTTACTCATCAGTTTGCAGAAAGTGTGTGCGAGAATCTGTCACATGATTAGGGAGACTGCCCTTAATGTTTCGAGGCAGGTGGGGCCATATTCTGAAGATGATGTTTAAAACAAGATTGTATTTCCTGAATCAAGGCCAAAAAACACAACTGAATAAATGTCTGTGGTCCGGCTAGCTGGTGTTGTATGAACTTCTTCTTACACATAACATTCAAGTTTATATGGTTTTTATGTCTGGTTTTTAACACGCAATGGGGTAACTAAACACATTTCCTTTTCAGATAGTCTCTTTAGCCCCCTCTGCAGGTGTGGATGTATGCGGTTGTCTTCGTTTCAGCCTCAGCCAAATGTGTCTTCCTTTTCAGTTCCAACCGTGCTTTCAGAACCCTGTTTGCAGCGGTTCTAAGCAGGTAGAACCAAATAGCGTGCTCTTACAATGTTGATGTCAGCAGACTTCTACCTGTGGATTGGCTGAACCGAGGCAGAACTTGCAAACCCCTTTTTTTCACCACAACGGCTAAAGCTGCATGCTGACGATCTGTCCACAATCGCACAGAGAGAGAGGGACAGACTGACATGGAGACACACACACACACCTGGGGTGGCTGCGGAAGAGTGGTTAGAGGAGTCCTCCTGCAATCGGAAGGTCACGGTTCGATCCCCCGTCCAGCTGTCTCAGTTGTTGTGTCTTTGGGCAAGATACTTAACCCCAATGCCTCTGATGTGTGTCCCATCAGTGTATGAATGTGATTGGCACTGATTAGTCTCCATAGTTGATTGTACATGTTGGCTTTGTAGGAGATCTGGCAGAGTGCTGTGTGAATGGGTAAATGAGGGCATAGATTGTAGTGTGAAGAGCTTTGAGTGTCCTGGTTGGGTAGAAAGGCGCTATACAAGTACAATCCATTTACCATTTACCATTACACTGAGCAGAACTGAACAGACATGAACAGAATAGAGTGAGACATGACAATGGAGACAGGACTTAAGTGGCATTGAGATGGACTTGAGACCAGTCCAGGGTGTACACCGCACCCCACACAGTGACTGCTGGTTATGGGCAGGACTGACCCCTGTGACCCTGAAAAGAAGATGGATGGATGGTGACATGGTGATTACACCCTATCCTCTACATCTGATAAAGATTTAGTAAGCTCAAAAAAATGGGGAACGTCACAACAAATTGTTCTTTGCCAGTACACAAAACAATACAACACATTCATTTTTACAGATATCAGGCAAAATCTTGATGATGGTCATCATAGCTGAGAGGCATTCATAACAACTGCTCAGAGTGCTTACAGATCTTACATCGCGTGAGACTGTGCCCAATGGTGTTTCAAGGTTTGAACAAAATGGCTGTCCATGATTTCTCAACATATGTTGATTTTAGTTCCAAACTTTGTCACGAGAAGTGAGCAGGATGGCTGGTGTCTGATTTATAGAATAAAACTTTATTTCATTTCTGTTTGCTTTCAATAAAATAAAACACCTTACTGTCACTCACGCCATTTTCTAGCCTTGAATGAGCCCTGCACACATGTATTAAATTATATTCGGACCCTCTGGTGTTGCCTCTTCACCACAAACCACCAATCAAGCCCCTCCACCTACAGCCTCACTTCCCCGGATAAACACGGAGCCACAACAGGCCGCAGCGGTTTGTTAAGAGCCAACAGATACAACACAACGCGGGGATCACGGCTCCATTGTGTTCCTGTGATGGCGTGTTTAGACTGACTGCCGAGTCCCAGTTCTGTTTATAGAGGGGGCAACCTGTTTATGAGTTCCTGAGTTTACACTCAAGTAATGAGCATGAACACACCACAGACGGAAACGGCAACTGCAGCCAAATTACTTCTTGCAAAAGGCAGAATGAAAAAAAAAAAAACATCAAAAGCTGCGGGGTTGGGATGGTTTGTTTTGTTTCATCACCATTTTATATTAATGACCCTTGGGGAGAGAGTTAGCAAGAAAGAATTTTATTTAATCTTTTATACAAAAAAACATCAAAAGTAGTCTCATCTTTGATTTTAATGAATATAAAAATGCACTTTTTTATAAACTGCTAAATACTGTATTATCACAGGTTGTACAGCTGAAGAACTTTAAATCCACTTTTACTGTAGAATTAAACTAATTTGTGTGAAATGGTAGAAAAAAAAATATGTCTGGCCCAGTTCTGGCCCACAAAATGCACTAACACTCGGTTCATATACCGCAAAGAATGATGGTCCTTTCTTGGCCCAGATGTAGTTTGCCAGAAGTGGTCTGTTGGGCAGAAACAAGTGAGTTTAGTTTTTTACCAGTTTCCTTTTGCAAAAGGGGGAGGTTAAAAAATACTTAGCTTTTTCACGGCCAAGCTCTGATGAAGCTCTGAGCTCTTCTGCTCAGGGAGTGGTTTTTTATTAAGAAGCAAGAAACAGAGAAACAACATTTCAACCAATCATAAAGTCACACAGTTCTCATCTCTTTGTTTGGCAGCGTACAGACCTTGAAAAGGAATAAGTGAGTACAAGATGTTCCAGTAACAGGTTGTAGGATGTTGCAAAACAAATACTGTTCTCAGACATTAAAAAACACAATGCTGCATTAAGTAGAGAGTCTGACTAATACAAAATGATAAAAAAATTAAAAAAAATCCCAACATGATACATGCAGCACCATATAAACCAAACCACAAGCAGGCCCATTGTGGCATTGTCAGATTGAGGCCACATAAACCAAACCACAACAGGGCCAATTGTGGCATGCCATCTTAAAAACAGTCCCATCCTTGCCAGACCTGGCCCACATCTAGATGACAAATCACTTCCCATGCCAGCAGTGCCAGGTACAGCTTCTACCATATTCATTTCTATGGTCTGGACCACTCGTGAATTTTGTTTGTATCTGAAAAAATCTTACGAGAAAATTGGTGAATGCCATAAGTTCTCCTAAATCATTCGTACGCAATTCTGTTTGTACGAACGGTTCTTGCACGAGGCCCAATGGGTGAAAAGCTCCTCAGGCACCAGAGAGAGTGCTGCACATGGTGTTAACATGACTGCCACCCTGTGGCTGAACTTGTCTCAGCTCTCAGTCTCATCCAGGTTACATGGGATTCTGCAAATCACACAGAAATTATTCCTAATAACCTCCAGTTTAGTTATATAACGCTAACAACAAAAGAGTAATTCAAGAGTAATTTACAAATTCATCTTGTTTAAACTCAGATTTTCTGCAATCAAATTTAATTGAAATCCAAACACTGGTCTTGTTACAACAGTCCAAGTTTGTTTACAAAAAGCACATTTAAAAAGGAATTGCATTTGACTCCATCTACATGGTGTTTCATAAGCATCAAATAACTAATTAAAATGAGCTGCACTAGAAATAGTTTTCGTGGTTAGCACTGTTGCCTCACAGCAAGACGTTCCTGGTTTGGTTTGGACCTGGGGTCTTGTGGAGTTTGCATGATCTTGTGTTTGTGTTGGTTTTCTCCAGGTACTCTGGTTTCCTAAAAGCATGCATGTTAGTTAATGTCTGTGTGCTACGGAAGAGGATTAGAGCCACAAAGCAAAAAATATATCTTTTCCTGAGTTCTGACTTTTTTTCCCCTCAGAATTAGGAAAAAAAAGTCACAACTCAACTGTTTACAGAGGGCGCAACTTTGCTTTCAGAATTCCGAGGTTAATTTCAAAGATTAAAGTCAGAATCCTGAGATTAAAGTGACTTTAATCTCAGAGTTTTTAGACAACAAAAAGTCAGAACTCATAGTGATTTTGATTGTATTGGTCTGGCAAAAAGAAATTACACACGTGGAAAAAAATTGTTGGCATCCCCGTTAATGATGGAAGGGACAGTGTTCTGTTCTTGGTATGTTTCATTTTTAGGTCTGTAAACACTGACAGCATCTGTCCAAAGGTTGGGACATTGTCCCAGAAGCTTTGTGGATTGGCAGTATGTATTTTGGCAAATTCCAGTTTCAGTGTTTTATGATTTGGTGTCCTCCACAGCTGTCTTTCATTAACACCACTTTGACTCAGTGACTCATAGTGTGATCTAACACTGATGAACTCTGACATTGGAGTTCACCTTTAATTTCTTTGGAGATTGATCTGGTTCTTTGGTTACCATTCATGTTATCAATTTTCCTTCTGTGGACACTACCAGGGAGGTCCAGTCCAGACCGGAAACGTTTAAATAATCTGTGCAGGAATCTGTCACAGGATCATCAAGCTGCTTGGAGTTGGTCTTTAAGTTTAACATGCATGCGTGCCTATAATTTTCTTTTTAATCTCCTGAGACAACCCTCTCCTTCACTTCCTGTGGTACACACCATGTCACCGAACAGCACAGTGACTTCTTGTCACCCTTTAAACAGGCAGACTGACTGATTACAAGCTTGAAGACACGAGGCTAATTAGACACACCTTAGTTTAACAGGTTCCTATGGTCAAACTATTTTCAACTTTTCTAGAGGTACCATCATATTTGTCATGGTTTTTTTTACTGTTTTTTTTTTTTTTTGTTCTGTTGAACTATAAAGTATAATTTTATATATCATTACATCTGCCAATTTAAATTCATTTTAGTGACCATTATGGGCTTTTTGGTCATTAACAGTACCAACAATTCTGTCCATTTGTGTAAATGGAATTTTGACCATATGTCAAGGCAAAAACTATATTAATCAACAGAAGTCAAACACCACGAAAAAAAATCATTCAATTACATCAAGGATGTCAGATGTAAAACTAACAAGAGAGCAAAATTTTACAAAAGCTCATTTTAGCCTAACTTACACCTAGTGGTCGGCTTCTTGTAACTTTAACAACTCTTTCAGCTTCTTCAGCCAATTTTCAAGTCGACTTTCACACTGTGTTCAAAGAAAAGCCTTTTCACTTGTTTAAAACTCATTTACTGTTTAATGAACAGGTAAACAAACTGCAAAATCCACATTTGCTTTCAGTGAAAACCATAAAGCCTGAAATAAACTTGGACATTAACAAATGTTTGTTCCACTATAGTGAGGGGTGGGTTAATGTGTTTTTATTTAACTTCTTTTTCTTCAAAAGCAAAAATTCATTGTGTTATCATGAAATTTTCACATACCTTGTCTGGAGCAAAACTCTGTACCAAATGGAACATCGTTTACTGAGCAAGGAAGTGCTAAAAAAATAGATTCACCTGTTAAGTGTTATGACAAAACTAATGAGAGGAAATGGGTACAAAAAATGTCCTTTTTCTCTCTGCTGTGCTTCTTCAAAGGTTACATTATATGATTTATTTATTAACTTCCATGAACTGCCATTTTTAATTAATAAACTTTAGGAGCAACATGACTTGTCTCCTAGGTGTGGTTTGTGCAACATCAGCACTAATTTTAAGAGCTTTCTTTGATGGAAGAGAAAACGAGGAGAGCCCCAAGGGTTCACGTTAGGAACATCCTGCCAACAAGACTTGATGTTTTGAGGAACTGCTTCATCCAGAGTATTTTTTACACAGTTAACAAGGAAACAAGAATCAACAAAACAAACTTTGTTCTGAAATTTTTATCAAATTTTTTTCGAGATTTATATAAACATCTTAAGACAGAAACATTGCCTGCAAGTCATTTCAAGCTCTTCTTTAGTATAATCATTTAGCAAAAATAAATACCTCTATTTGAGCACAAAACTCTTGTTCATAAATGCATAAGACTTAAACAGTCTTATTTTTCAACCATTTCAATTCAGCAATAAACAAATGTTTTACTACAAAATACTCAAACTCAGACCAACTTGTACAAGAAGTGTTGCACAGACAGCTGTGGGAGTACAGTACGATAACTCTGAGGGCAAATCAACATATCTTAGGAAATGTGAATATCAAATTATTTCCATTGTGAGGATTAAAGAATTGGGATTTTAAAGTCAAGTGAATAGTAGTATATTTGTAGAACATTAAGAAACTCCTGACTTTTTAAAATGCAAACTCACTTTGGCTCAATGGTGCAAGATACTTTACACAATGTCTTAAAGGTCCTTTCCTGTTATACAATGTACCCATTTTATCCTATCATTTCAACTCACTGGGTAAACCACACAGGAGGTTTTATATTCAAATTTCAAAAATAGCTGTAAAGCTGCAAGCAAAAAATTCATTCCCCCCCCTAATAGTTACAGTTTATTGTTTAAAACACCACTAAAATCTTCAAGCAGTAATCAATATTTCATCCAGTTACTAGACTAACATAAAGGAAAACTTAGTAGTCCATACTTCTTAAATTTAGATAATTTAAAAACGAGGCAAGACTTAATCATTTTCCAGTGTATTTGAGAGGACTGAAGGCAATGAAGAATCGTCAGTGTGTTCAAGAAATTTTAGTCTTCGAGGGAAAAGGCAGGTTACCTCAACTCCACCTTTTAATATTAAATGTCTCTACTTCTGTGTCAGATTTTTTTTTTCTTTTTCTTTGGCTAACAATGGGAGTCACTCGTGGCCGCTGTCCTCTGTGTCGTCCTCCCCGCCTGCTCTGTCTCTGTGTGTTTCTGGGTAGTTCAGGATGTGTCTGCTGGCCTGAATGATGCACTGTTGCTGTTTGAAATACATTTTCAACACACCCTTGATCAGCACGAATGCAATGCCACCCTGCGGAGACAGTACACATTAGATTTACTGTGTAGAAAACCTAAAACAGGGGTGGGCAATCCTGGTCCTCGAGGGCCGCAGCCCTGCATGTTTTATTTTTTTTCTCTGCTCAAACACACCTGATTTGAATGAATGGGTGATTATCAGGCTTCTGGAGTACGGAGGACCAAAACTGACATAATTAAAAATAAAAGCGGAAATATATAAATTGACTGATAAATAAAAAATTAATACTTAAAGTGCACCAATATAATTCAAAAAGGAGAATTTTATTTAAAGTATATATA